GGACGGTGCGTTGGCGCTGGGACGCGAGGCGAGAAGGGGGCCGGGGGGAGGCAGGAGGGTGGTTCTGCCAGGTACTGAAGGAGAGAAATGGTGACAGAGGCAGATGTACTGACACCAGGCGGTCGGCTCGGCCCTCACACGGCAGCGCGGGTGGGCGTGCTGGGCTGGTTCAACCGCAGCGTTCTGCACAGCCAGCCAGCGAAATCCACCTCCTCCACCTCGGAACGTTTGATGAAGGTGTGACTCTGAAGGAGAAAAAAAAAAAGAAAGAAAAAGAAAAAGGGGGAAAACAGGGTTAGGAACGTGCATCGTCGGCTGGGCCCCGGCTCCCCAAAACCCCCCTTAGCCCCGTGTCGTGGGCTTAGAGCCCGGAGGGATGAGAAGATCCTGGTGCAATGGCTCAGGCTGCTCTCCGGCAGTGAAAAGAAGATTTTGAGAAAATATTTGCTCCTTGCAGCCCTGTGGCTGGGATTTTCATCCATCAACACACCGCCATGGGACCAAGGAAGATTTAAGAGACAGCCCCTGTCTGCGAGCAGACCGGAATGCTGCTCTGAGCAAGGTGCTGGGTGCTCCTGCACTCCCCACGGTCCTCGCTTGCCCCTGGGGGCAGAAGGTAACGGAGAAGCACAGGTAGGACAGGACGAGCTTCGCACAAGGGCACGGGGCCACAAGGACACAGGCCACCTCCTTTGCGAGGGCTATGTGGGAGCACCCACATGTAGCTCAGCGGCTCAGCATGGTGCCAAGGAAAGCCCAGATCAACATGGTTAAACTGGGCTCACAGAATGGTTCGGGTTGGAAGGGACCTTCAAGACCATCCAGTTCCAACTCCCTTGCCATGGGCAGGGACACCTTCCACTACACCAGGTTGCTCAAAGCCTCATCCAACCTGGCCTTGAACACTGCCAGGGATGGGGCAGCCACAGCTTCTCTGGGCAACCTGCTCCAGTGCCTCACGACCCTCTGAGGGAAGAATTTCTCATTAGATCTAATGGAAATCTCCCCTCTTTCAGTTTAAAGCCATTGCCCCATGTCCTGTTACTCCACACCCTTGTCCAAAGTCCCTCTCCAGCTTTCTTGTAGCCCCTTCTCTTCTCCTGGCTGAACAGCCCCAACTCTCTCAGCCTGTCTCCAGAGCAGAGGTGCTCCAGACCTCGGATCATCTTCATGGCTTGAGCAGGTCTATGCCTTTCTTATGCTGGGGACCCCAGAGCTGGACACAGACTCCAGGCAGGGTCTCACCAGAGTGGAGTAGAGGGGCAGAATCCCCTCCCTCAACCTGCTGCCCACGCTGCTTTGGATGCAGCCCAGGACACGGTTGGCTTTCTGGGCTACGAGCGCACACTGCTGGCTCATATCCAATCCATGTATTCATCTTCATCTGCCCAGCTCAGGAGGCAAAGGTTTGTCCCAGGCACCTCCGCAGACACGGGACAGCTGGGTGGTTCTCATCCTGGGCTCTGCACGGGTTAGATACCATCACTGCCTTTGAGGCAAAGGTGAGTGAGTCACTCCCTCTCCTGGGCTCTATTTGGCTCATCTTAAGCTCAGCTTGGGAGTTTCCAGCCTTTTGAGCAAGAGAGGCACAGACGGACGGGGCAGCAGTTTGCAGATCTGGTGCCACCTCACTGTAGAAAGAAAATTGCTCTCCCCACTCACCATCAGCATCTTCAGATCTGCCCGTTCTGCTGGATTTTTAATTAAGCTGAAACAAGAAGAACAAGAGAGCAAAACCAACACTGAGACGTTTCTTGTGGGAAACCAGTCATCTGGCTGGAGAGGTCTCCAGCTTCACCGAAAAGCTACTTGGTCTCCTGGCCGTTTTCCCCAGGAGCCTGGCAGCAAGGAAACAGCTCAGAAAGCATCATCTCCAACAACCCAGCTCCCAGGGAGAGCGGCAGGATCCGTCTCCTCTAGACCAGGTGGATAAACTGGCCCCTGAAAAGCGAGAAAAGGACCCAACGCTTGGTGAGGATCAGTGATTTTTGTAATGTCCCATCTCCGTGATTTAACAGGGGCTGTGGCAGCGTCTTCAGGTGTTCCCCCACGGCATCAGAAGGTCTGGAAGTTGATGGTGTGTGCCTGGTGCCTGCAAGGCTGTGGGGTGACTCACAGCCCTAGCAACCTGCTCCACCATCCCCCTCTGCCAGGCTGATATTTAGAAGGTGCTGGGATACTGCTAAGCATCACCAACAATAAACCACTTTTATCCCAACCCTTCCCAAGGCAGGAGCTCCCAGCACAACGCGGGATCACACTGCAGCCAGGGAGAGATCACCTACAGAGCCTGGAGAACATTGCGTTACGCGGAATGATTTGGGGGGAGCGGCAGCCTGCAGAGCTGTCAAAGACTGCACACAGGCCTCCGCCTTCAGCCCTAAGATGAAATCCTTACCATTTATTTACAAACTCCTGGAAATCTTGCGTGAAAACTCCGTTTGGCAGCTTGGGAGGTGGCTGCAGAGAAAAGGAGAAGGGTTTTCTGCATCACTGTGTGTTAATAGATCAAAAAGCAGAGTGTCACCTATAGTCTTTAATGAGCTGCAGGAAAGCTGTGCTCTACAGCCACCCTCCTCCTCCTCCAAGCTGCCCTTTACAGCCAGGGAACTGCTCCCTGCCAGTTCTTACCCTGGCAGCACGTGGCCAGGCTGGCAGCAAACTGCTGCCCCAGCACGACGTGCAGCTGGGGGGACCCCACGCTGAATCCCTGCCAGAGTCGGGAAACCGAAATTGCAGCGTCGCAATTCTGGATCCGACCTCGCAAATCCCGGCTCTGGCAACGCCTACGGCGGATGAATCCCATCCAGAAACGATACGTGAGGGTCAACTCCTATCACCCTGAAAGGGGAAGCTGCTCTTTCCACTTGCAGGTGGGATGGACCCTACTTTAAAAGTCCGGCAGGACATTTCAACCCGGGGTTTTAGCACCCATCACCCTCGTTCCAAGGGCTTCGTCTGAGAAAACACGCACGACATCAGGGAGCGCTGATCCTTTGCTGATCTAGGGAGGAGCACGTTTGGAACAGCTGGTTGCAGAAGGAGCATGTCAGTACAGCCAAGTGCTCCCCTCACTGCTCTCCTCTTTCAAGGGTATTATGAACTTCCCCCTGCAGAGCCTGATTCCAAAACCAAAGATGCTTTTGCCATACGAAGAGAATAGGGGAGCAGGAAGGGACCTCAGTGAAGCTCGGAGGGGGTCTCTATCGAAAAGTCCCTGTTCAAGCAAAGGTTTTGGAGCCCACCCTGACTCAGCAGAGTGGACACGACACTGTGGTACCTCAGGGAAGCCCCAGCAGCGCCCACAGAAAAGAAATACTCACCTCATTAACTATATAATCCAGCAGTTCAAAGATGGCCATCGCGGGCCGGCTGTCCATCCCATGGCCTGCGTGGTTAAGACGACAAAAAAAAAAAACAAAACCAAAAAACAGTAGTGAGAGGCTGTTCAGGGGCAGCAAAGGGCTTCACTTCGTGCAAAAAGCACGTGTGCTGTGGGACTTTTGCTGGGAGAGGCAGAGGCAACCCACTTGGGAACTGACTCACAGTTAAAAAAGTCGCAAAGAGAAAACCAAAACGCATTCCGAAATTTCAGATTTCTTCCACTGAGCTTTTAGTCCAGATTTATTTCCTAGCTTGGAGCATGTGGAGAGTATCAGACCATCTGCTGTAGCAGGCTGGCAGCACTTCTAGAGCCTTCTGCTTCCAAGCAAACAGCTCAAGCAGAGCCTCCTTCAAACACTCGTGCGCTTTGGTACTTCTTACGAGAGCTCCCAGCAAAGCTGTTCCCAAAAAGCTGCCCCTAGCTTGAAAGGAACCTGTTGGCAGCACGGGCAGAGCCTGAAGAGCAACATAGGCTGTGACAGTGTCCCTCAAAACATCTCCTCCAAGGGGTCCACATCCCAACAGCCTGTGCCATCCGCAGCACGGGGTGCATTGCTGTGTGGCCTGAGCCTTCTCGCGGGACACAGCAGGGTCTAGAGGCAGATAAACTGAGCTCTTCAAAATCTTAACAGACCCTGGTTGGCATCCTGAGAGCCACCTCACCTCCTCATGCAAGACCAGACTCCCACCTGCGCTCGTTAGGAATGACAAACCTCTGCAGAAGAGTTGATTCTGCTGGAGCATTGACATGAGTCCACCAGCTCTGCAGAGAGGGGCCTCCCTGGAAACACTCACCTCCCCGCTACAGCCTCATCCAGAACGGCCTTGGGCTAACCCAGCCACACCGACCAAACCCCGACCCTTCTCCCCCACGTCTGTGTGTTGTTTCCGATGCATACGACAGCCCCTACCACTGATGGGGCGTCCTGGGGGCCTGGCCCGCGGCGAGATGCTGTGAGACTCTCCCTCTGCCCCGTCCACCACAGGACGGCCAAATATTGCTTCCAGTTCCTTGGAGTCTGGCGGGGGGAATGGGGTCCCTTCCGATAGACAGCTCCACTAACGACAGACCCATGCTCCAGATGTCGGACTGGACCGAGTAGTGGGTGCCCTGCAACCGCTCGGGCTGGAAGGAAAGACCACAAAAACGCAGGTTGACACGGAATATCAATATGGAAAGTCATAAATGTCATGCTCTGAAATTAAATAGATGAGACTCCATATCCTGATGGCCTCTCTGGCTCAGCTCTCCACCTCTCCAGGGAAAGGACTGCCCCAAAGGGGTCAAGTGCAAAAGAAAGATCATGTGCAAACATAAAGGATCTGTATGCATCGAATCAACAGCTACATTTGAGCAGC